CCCCAAAACCCCAAAACCCCAATCCCCTTTATATCAATTAGTTAGAGAAAATCATGTAAAATTTAAATATACTCTTTATTCATGTAATTTACTTCGATTATAATACGATCCCATCAAACATTTTCATAGTTAACTTTCACTTCTGATCCTATCCTTAACTACTATATATCTTCTCTTTCAAGTATGTATATCTGATCACTTAGAATGACTAAATTATTTTTCAAAGGATTTTTAATCCATTCTTTAACATTAAGACTCAGGAATCCCTTTACTGGTTCTTTGTATAACTTGAACCCAGCGTAGTCATTTCTATCAGAGATAAGATGAGTATAAACCAAATATTCAGTGTCAGGCATATTCTCAGTTCTATTATATTTCCACCCTATTGGTTCATTTTCATATAGAAATCTATTGAAACCAGTCATTGATGCATAAACATCTGAATGCAAATAAGGTTTTGGGAGTACAGGATTGGACTTCATTTCAATTTCTATAGATTTAATTGTTAGTTGATAAGTTACAATAGTCTTAGTTGAAGTATCGAAGGGCGGTACCTCCTGGATAGTTAAGATGGCTAACATACAGGGATAGGCAAGAGTAACTAAAAGATAATGCCATCATTCCTATTGATGCTAAGATCAAAAGTCTATTGAAAATAGAACTTTTAGATAATTATCTCCCTCTATAATCAAGTTAATTTATAATATACTAACATCTTAGCCAGACCCATTGCACCTCCAAGGTTAAATAAGGTCAAAGCTGGGAAGATAAACCTGAGTTCTTTATGAGGTAGGATGCTGTACAATCCCACAAATATTATAGCAGGACTTATCACATCTAAAATCTGCAAATCTATGATGTGGCCTCTTCTCTGATAAATCAGTCCAAATAGTAAAAAGGGTATAGCGACAGTAACACTCTTGGGTATAGCAGCTAGGAAGTACCAGTACCAAGGAGAGGTGCCCCACTCATGACTTTTATTCAAGTAGGTGTTATAGTAAAGCACATACAACTCAGGCCACATAAAGAAGCTTTCATCTTCAGTCTTTCTGAGCCTTTGATTGAAGTATTCTCTCCAGAAGAAAGTATCAATAGCAAGTGTAATTGATATAAACACAATAGAAAAGATTACTCCATACCCTATAACTTTCTTCAATATATCTAGGCTCAGTTTCTATCTCAAAAAGTCATAGATAAACATCTAATGGGGAATATAAAAGTGTAAGAGAATTTTACTGAAAATGCTAAGATAATTATATCACATCGGAATACAATTGTTGCCAAAGCCAAGAATACTATTGCGTGATGCCAATTATTACTAATCCAGGAAGCAAATGCTAAGTTGCAGAATATGAGAGCAAAAGTGTTTGGCAGAGGTCTCGACATATAAAACATTGTGTGGAATTAAACTATGTAGATCTATATCACTACTTTACAAAACTAAATTTAATTACTAAGAAAAATGAGTTTGTGATGTAATCATCTCTGTATTTATCTTAGACTGCGCTTCTCAGTCTCTTTAAAGCAAAATAGTTCAGCAATCCCAGAGTTATCCTTGCTATATATAAATACAAAGAAATCTAATTTACAGAAAACATGCATGTGATAGCAGGTAAACCCAATCCTCACAAAAATGTATTTGAAGGGAAAATCAATTGCAGCAATCATAAGTGAAGATATGAAAGTTCTGTAGACAACGCCAGGAAACTCTATAAAGTCATAGTTTTCAACATCATTAGTCAAGTAAATGTGATCATAAATGTTATTGACTTAGAATATCTCTTCTACTTTGGTATAAGGAGCAGCAAGTATGTGGGTTATCATTGTCACAAGGAAAAACAGGTCCCATTTATCTAGTGCTTTACTATTTGAAGTCTAGCCTTGAGTGTCTTTTTCAATTGCCATTAAAGCAAAAATTAATGAATTCGTAAATATTATATTTATAGAAACTACTAAAATCTTATGACTGAACCATGGGGTTTTGGGGTTTTGGGGAGATCGGAAGAGCGTC